ATAACGAAATAATTTATTTTTGGTTTAATATTATAAATTTTATAAAGATAATAATTAAGTATTCTGTTAGAATTCAATGATTATCCTAATTATATTTTAGATTTTTTATATTTAAAATATGATGTTTATCATTTATTTGATTATGTTTATCTACATTTAGTTACACGAATTCAGATATGGAGCTTTAATAAGTTGTACTTACGCACAATCTACTTGCAATCTTGAGTTTTAAGTAATATGTATTAATAAACAAAATTTTACGCATAAAAATTCGTTTTTAAGAGTTTTTGTCAAATGCTTTATAATATAGTATAGATTTGTTTCATTTTATAGATTTAAATACTCTTTTGGTTCAAAAAATGTTTAGGCACTTAATCGTTCAAAATATAAATGTCCATTGGTTTTTTTCTAAATTTTTTAATATTATTTTACCATATTAACCAATTATATATATCATAAAAATGTATCTAATAAATTTTAGAAAGTCCAAATAATTATTTAACATATTTTGAAATATCAAAGAAGTTATTTATTTTAAAACATTATCCAAAGGCTAATGTTATTTTTCACGACATGAAAACGCAAAGTCTTCGGTATTATTTACCTCACACCAAACACCCTTCATTGATCACGTGAAAACACAACGGATCTGCACAAACCCACATATTAATGTCTCCCAAATTTCCCCAAATTTAAAAACCCTAAAGTAAGAAAACCTTTATCGATCTTCAAACTTCCTCCTTCACGAATTGCACTTCCAGTAGTTGTAGATCTGAAAAGTTAAGGTTCACTCCATCGTCGTCAAGCTCAAATTCATCACCGGAGATGGCGGACTGGGGACCAGTACTGGTGGCGGTGGTACTATTTGTGCTGTTAACACCGGGACTGTTATTCCAGTTGCCTGGTCACAACAAGGTGGTGGAGTTCGGAAACATGCACACCAGCGGAGCCTCCATTATTGTTCACGCCGTTATCTATTTCGCTGTCCTCACTATCTTCCTCATCGCCATCGGCGTTCATGTCTACGCCGGCTAGTTATTGCCGTTCCGGCGAGGTATTTTCTGATTCACTGTGTTGTTCCCCTTCTGGTTTTCAGTCGCTTCACTATATTTACATTTACCCCCCCTGCATTTTTCTATTTATTGACTTTTTACCCCCCATCGTTCATTAGATTTGGTTTTTTATGAATTTGTATGTGTATTTGAGAATTATTGGTATAAAAGTTTGTTTACATTGACGGTGAATAAAAAATAATCTTAAATATTTGTATCATTTTATTTTATTAATATTAAATAATTAAAAATCAAATTATTTTGAATGGCGTAACATTTTTTTTATATTAATGTTAAATAATTAAAAATCAAATTAATGTTAAGTATCAAATTCCTTTAACAGATTCCATTCCATCCAAAAAAATTATGTAAGGAATTGTTTACCAAATGCGTACCTCGTAAGCACTTTCCGGCAAGAGACATCACTCTCATTTACTTTATCGTGTAATTCTCAGCCAACAAAATGGAATTGTTGGTAAGCGTTTACTGTGTAAGAGTCTTTTTCTCTCACCTACACTTTTCGGCCCTTGTTATGTCCCTTACTGCGTAAGATTCTCGGTACATGTCATGCTTAATTGGTAAAAATAAGTGACATTAGTAAGCGTTTATTCGGTAAACATTTAGGGGGCATTTACCTAAATGCTTACCCGGTAAGCGTTTAATGTTAGGAGTCAACAATACAATTTATTTTACTGGATAAGATTGTAGTACATTAAAATGATATCGTATGCATTACTCGATAAGCATTTATCCGGATAAGAGTGGTTACCTTCACTTATTTGGTACTAGGATGGTGGTTGGTGGGAATCCAAAATTATCACCAGCAGTATCAACTGTTGAAAATATAAAATATCCATATTCGAAAAATTCTGAGTTTGAAATCTTACACGTTAATCAAAATGAAAATGCAAATATAACTGCGTCTTAGAGGGTGTTTGGGATTGCTTATAAAAATTGCTTTTTAATTTATTTCAGTCTAGCACCGGTGATAAGTTGTTTTTTGGTGTTTGGATAAGAAAAAAAAATGCTTATACCGGTGTCAAACCGATAATAAGCTGTTTTTGATAAGTTAATCCTTTTTGTATATTCAATCAATTAATTGTATATTCAATTATTGTAGCTAAATTTAGAGTAAATTACGATTTTTGTCCCTATAGTTGTTAAAAATTGCGATTTTCATTTCTATGGTTTAAAAATTGTGGTTTTTGTCTCTATTATTGTAATTCATTACTATTTTCATCCTTATGATTTACAATTTATTTTTGTTTCGGTCCTTATGGTTTACAATTTTTTACTTTTTTGGTCCTTTATACTTAAAGATAAGAATTAATTCAGGAACAAAAATAACAATAAAATACAAACTATAGAGATGAAAATGATAATTTTTAAACCACATGGACGAAAATGAAACTATCAAGAAACCACAGGGACATGAATAATAAATATTATGATATTTTCATGGCGTTTGGTTTGTAGAATGATTTTTTTAAATGAATATTGTAATATGTTAGAAGAATTAAATTTAATCAGTATGATCATGTATTTTAGCCCAAAACTTATAACAAAACATAAAGATGATTTGGTGTATTCATAAAATCAAATGCTTGTACCATGTTTGTTTTAGTTTAAATCAAATTTATGACTTAGGGGAAGTTTGGTAGTTGCTGAATGATTTGGTATATAATGATTAAGTGGTCAAAATGATTAAGATACTCTCATGATATAATGAAAAATGAAATATAATTGTTTGGTAATTGTTTACAATGAAATTATGGCGCTTAATGGTTAAGCGAGGTCCAAGATACAAAGTCATTCATAGGGTTTTAGAATTATTAAAAGACAAATTTTTTTTTTTTGTCAAACAAGATTCACTTTTTAATGATACATAGGTTGCATTTTAATGAAACTATTAAGAGGTAAACACACAACCTCTTATTCGTTAGCCACTAAAAAAAGCAGTGTTTGTTTCTGGCTTAATTATTAAGAAACTGTTAAAACGTAAACCATAATGTGTATCTATTTTACACATTAAAACGATATCATTTCAGACAAATCTTAATTAAAAAAAAAATAACTATAAATTTGCATCGTAGCTAATAGAAAATTGTTTTTTTTTTGAAGTATACAATATTTATATCCGATAAATGTAACAAATAAACCACAAGGGTGGTGCATGATTGGTTTGAGTTCCAAAGGTCAAGAGTACCTGCAACCCCTGTGGCCACGGAGGTTCAAACGCGGTGACTCCGGGCTACCTGCAAAGCAGATGGTCGTCATGGGATTAGTCGGCTCACATAGCGGGTTGGATATCCAGGTTAATAAAAAAATGTAACAAATAAACTCACACACCCTCCTCACCTTTGGTGAGTTTTGAACCCATGACCTCCTATGAGACCAAAGACTATGTTATCGCTAGGCCAAAGACCCTTTGGTAAAAATTGTTTATCTTGTCAGTCAAAGTATCTCGGATGAATTGTATATAAATCAAATTAGGAAAGAAGTGAAAAGATGAAACTGATTCCTGGTTCGTTAATGTAAATTGACTTAAAAGAAACTATAAAAGACATTTATGTAAAATATAAGGCCCCGAATAATATGAGAAATATATTCTCATACAGTGTTGCTCCAATCTGAACCAGCTAGCAAACAATTGCACAAGATGACACCATTATGTTTCGATAGAGGATATGAGAAAGCGTCGGGGAACAAAAAAAACAGACATAATAAATAAACTATCTGAAGTGGTTTTTCAAACCAGTTAATGGTTTATAAAACTTTACTGACTTCTATTAAAAACAAAAAGGAAAAGCTAAGCTCCGTTTGGTTTGTATGAATGGAAAGAATTTGAACGGATTTGAATTCTAATTCCATTTTAATCCGGTGTTTGATTTGCAGGATTGCTCGGATTTGAAATCCATCAAGTACAGGATTTTGAAATCCAAACGGGGTGGTTGAGATTTCACGGGATTTCGTAGGATTTATATATAATAATGTTTAAAAATATGTTAAAAAAACATTTATTTTCTAATAATCAGTTAATAAAATGGGACCTTTTAATTATTTTTATAATTATTTGTGATTTGTTATAACAAACTATTCGTACAGAATGAAATTCAATTCAATTCCAAATCATACAAACCAAACACACCAAAAATTTCAAATTCTTCCAAATTCAAATCCTTCCACGAAATCCAAATTTCTAAACCATATGTGAACTTTCTGACTGATTGATCATGTGGCCAAGTGTGTTGACCAGTTATACATTTTTTTTATTAACATCCAACCCGCTATGCGAGCCGATTAATCTCAGGACGATTACCAGCTTTGCGGGTAGTCCAGAGTCACCGCATTTGAGGGTGTAAACGATTAGAGCTTTTAAAAAATCTCCTTTCTCATCCCTCTTCTACTTAAGGGAGTAAACGATAGAGCTTTTAACGAGCTACTCGAGCGCAAGCTCACTTATCTAGATATCGAACACAAAGTAAACTTGCTTAACTTAACAAGCGAGCTTCATAAAGCCCCAGTGTTCGACTAGACTCGTTCGAAAAACTCGGTTAAATTTTTCGAGTCGAGTTGAGTCGAGTCATTCGAGCGTATACGTTTTTGAGCCAAAGATGGTCATATGTTTAAGAAGAGTAAAAGGTCATTTTGGGAATAAAACAACTTTAAAGCATAGATTTCAAATTATTAAACCTACAAAATGGAGCATAAAAACTCAAATTTCCATTGTTCACTATTTTAGCTTCGGAGACTTCAATGTAATTCCCTCAGAATAATCGCCATCTTCATTGTTACATCAATGGCGACAAAACCATCCTTCCATTCCATCTTCAAACCATCAAAAACTCGAATCCAGATCCAAAAACACACACGCAGATCGGAAAAAAGATGGTAGCTCAAAGAAACAACCCCCAAACCACCGTCATTCCGCCGGTGGCCGGAAAATCCACCACCCTGCAGTTCCTCTTTGATCTTGATTCAGAAAGTTGCAGCACTCAAAACGACGATGAAGACAAGATTCAAATTTTCGATCCAAGAATCGAAGAACTCACATCGATAATCGTTTATTGCACCGAGTATCGTTCAAATGATAAAGAATCTGGTTTGAAACGACTTAAACTCACACAGCTTCTTTCCATCATCAAAACTTCAACAACTCCACTTTCTGATCAAACCCTAGAATTTTTATTTAAAATGTTAGCTTCAAATCTCTTCCGCCCTCTTCCGCCGCCGTCTTCCTCCACCGTCTCCGTCATCTCACCGGAAGATGACGACTGTATCGCCGCCCCTGCCGCCGCTTGGCCACACTTACAAATCATATACGACATTCTCCTCCGTTTGATAATAAAAAAAGACGTGAAAACCCTCCGGCAAGTACAGTTCATCGGCCGGAGTTTTGTTCTCAACCTCCTTGTCCTCTTCCAGTCCGGCGACCCACGAGAACGCGACGCCGTGAAGAATGTCGTTCACCGGATTTACTCCAAGTTCACATTCTACCGATCATTCATGCGAAAAGCGATGACGGATGTTTTCTTGCATTATGTCTACGAAACCGATCACCGGCAGAATGGGATCGGAGAGATTCTTGAGATATGGGGAAGTATTATTAATGGGTTTACAGTGCCATTGAAGGAAGAACACAAGCTTTTTTTATCTAGGGTTTTGATTCCATTGCATAAGCCGAAGAACATGCAGGTTTATCACCGGCAATTGGCGTACTGTGTGTCGCAGTTTGTCCAGAAAGAGGCGGAGATCGGCGGCGTTGTGATCGGAAAGATTTTGAAGTATTGGCCTGTAACAAATTGTGGGAAGGAAGTATTGTTGATTGGGGAATTGGAGGAGATCGTTGAGAACATGGATCGTCAGCAGTTCTTGAATCTAGCGATTCCTTTGTGGACACAAATCACAAAGTGCATAAAAAGCTCCAATTCACAGGTAACATCCATCTGAATACATATGGAAGGGTTAAGAGGTGAATCTGGTAAAAAAAAAAAAATTTCTCTTAATGGTTTTAAAATATTCTGAATGATTTTGTATCATAGGTCTCATTTAATTATTAAAAGTCTTAATTTCATTGTAAACAATTACCAAAAAAATTTATTTTTCCTTTTGCACTATATCATGAGAGCCTCTTACTTATTCTGACTACTTAATGGTTCTGCACAAAACCATTCAGCAACTGCCAAACAGCCCCGTATTTGTATTATCATATACAAGAATATTGTTTGTAGTATATTCAATCATATGTACGTTGCCCACACACCATTCCACATGCACTATAACAAAATCGGGTTTATAGGACATTTCCAATTTCTAAACGTCTTAATAGACCTCTTTATAAGACTTAGTCTGTATGACCAAAAAAATAAAGTGTCCTGTCTAAAGGCGCTGTAATAAGTTTATATGACGTTTTTTGATGTCGTTATAAGTTTTTTAGGACACTTTTAATATAAAACGTCCCATTAGCAACTTTATAGGACAATATTTGAAAAACTGTCGTATAAAAACAAATGTCCTATAAAAAATTGAGTTTTTTAGGATACTTTTGAGAAAATATCCTATAAAGTTGTTAATGCGACACTTTATATTAAAAATGTCCTAAAAAACTTGTTAAGATGTCCAAAAGCGTCATATAAACTTATTACAACATCTTTAGATATGACACTTTATATTTTGGTCCTATAAATTAAGTTGTATAAAGCGGTCTATTGGAACACTTAGAGATTGAAGGTAATCTATAAACTCAATTTTATTGTAGTGACGTGTGTATTGTCACATATAGCAAGTGTGTTTTTGATGTGATGCTATAATCTATCACATATAATACACACATGACGTAGGTTGTAGGCTAAGTTATCCACACTTTACCACAAGATCTCTTCAAGAATACACACATATATATATATATATATATATGTATGTATGTATGTATGACAATCAAGAACATCATAGTACAACAAACTCAAAATGCCAGTTGAGATGATCCATAAAGGGTGTACATACATGCATATACATGCATACATACATATATTTGGAAATAACTAATTTCGATATTTGATTTATTTGAGTTGAAATGTTTGTAATATTGGGAAATTCAAATCGTAGGTAGCTGAGCGGGCCCTATACGTTTGTAACAACGAGCAATTCTTGAAGGCGGTGTCACAAGAACTGGACGAGGTGTTCCCTGTTCTAGTTGAAGCCATCGAAAAGAACCTTACGTTGCATTGGAACAAAAATGTACGAGAACTGACACATAATGTGAAGACCTTACTCGAAGATCTCGAGCCAGTTCTCTACAGAAAGTGCCTTGAGATGAATGAAATACACTGGCTCACAACGCGATTAGATGAAAACACACGAAGGAAAAGATGGGAGAGGATTGAAATGGTAGCACGAACCAATAACTAATTATTTATCACTGATCATATATTATTGTAGATATTCAAAATTCATTACATATCTTTAATCTTTTTGTTCTATCACTACAACAAAATCGGGTTTATAAGACACTCCCAATTTCTAAGTGTCATAATAAACCTCATCATAAGACTTAGTTTATAAGACCAAAAAAATAAAGCATCCTATCTAAAGGTGTTGTAATAAGTTTATATGACGCTTTTGGGCGTCTCAACAAGTTTTTTAGGACATTTTTAATACAAAGTGTTGCATTAGCAACTTTATAGGACACTTTTGAGAAAGTGTCTTATAAACTCAATTTTTATAGGACATTTGTTTTTATACGACCGTTTTTCAAATAGTGTCATATAAAGTTGCTAATGGGAGGCTGGATATTGAAAAGTGTCATAAAAAACTTATTACGACATCCAAAAACGTCATATAAACTTATTACAACGCCTTTAGATAGGACACTTTATTTTGACAAACATATATTTTTAGTCCTCACTTAGGCTACTTATATTAATGTCATATTGGGGTGTTACAAAATCCTATAGACAACATCCATCATTGATATACAATTTTTTGGATAACGTGATCAACCCTTACGAGTCATGACGTGACAATAACGACACATCGTTTCTCAATTCATGACTTAAGGCGACAAGATTAATGTACATCATACACACACATGCATACATACATACATACATACATACACTAAAATCATGTAATTCGACCATTTTCTTATTCTTTTATTTAGCTACAGTTTTCATTATGCTTTACTAAAATCATGTGATTTGACCGTTGATTATAGTATATTTTAGTTCATTATGTTTAATTATATCCTAGGTTTCATTATGAAATTAAGTATATTTTAATAAATTTTGAAACATAAAACATACTATAATCAACTAAACATAATGAAACCTTTTGAATACTAAAGCAAATTTTTTGTACCATTAAATTTCACGAATGAAACTGTTTCACCGTTTCATCTACCGAACTCACGTGACTCCTTGTCACCTACAATGAGTTAGATATATCATAATAAATTATGAAATATAAAACATACTATAATCAACTAAAAATAATGAAACAATTTGAATACTAAAGCAAATATTTTGTATCATTAAATCAATGAACGAAACTGTTTCACCGTTTATAGAACGAACTCACGTGACTGTCATTAAAGAAAGACCGATTGTCATGTAATGTTGAACGATGAAACATATAAAGAATGAAACATTTTTAAAAATTTAATGAGACATTTTGAAAACTGAATATTTTTTTATTTAATGAACGTTTTTCATGCATAAAACGTTCCGAAGTATTGTGAATTTGTTTGCTTGTCATTCTTGAGCATGAAATTAGTTTCATTACTCAAAGTATATATATATATTTTCAATGAAACGGAACACAGATTTCATATCCTACTGCTTTTAAAATTCATATTTTATGGTAAACAATAATAAAACATATATTAATGGTAAAACATTTATATTAAGAAGAAATGATTTACCTCCTTCTATATGAAACGTTTCCATTATTACGTTTCCAAAATTAACAGTATTTATTACCTTCAGATATTAATCAATATATAATGAAATGACTATTACACCCTTACTGATTAAAATTAAAGAAAAAAAATGGAATTTTCCTATTGGTCGAAAGTAGTTTGCATGATTTTCATGAATTGAGCAGTTTGCAACGTACCGCCTCTCTCTCTCTCTCTCTATATATATATATATATATGTATATGTATATATAATATATATATATATATCATATATAAAGAATAAAAAGAGGTTATATTAAGAGCTCAATAACAGGTAAAAAGAACGCAAACTTCAAATAAAAATTCAAAGAAGAAACAGTGTTTGTAAATTAAAAAAATACAGATAATACACCTCCAGACGCCATAGCTTCTTAAATTACCTTGCCTTTTACAACCTCAAATAGCGTTAGAAACGGATCTTACACGACATGTTTTTTATAACCTATTTAATAATAACATTAACAGTGAACATAGTCTCTGTAGACTGTAAATTCGTTGACAATATGTCTATGCTGGTTCAAATGCAGCTCGACCCAACAATTCGTCAGTGTAATGATACCATAATTAATATTTTTTTTATTAAAGTGAACAATTTTTTATCATCTTATTATTACTTAAAATGTATTTTAGTTTTTTATAAACAAGTTGCAAAAAGTCATTCTTGGTGTCACTTGGCCACATTAAGATGATAAGGTTAATAAATAGAAAAAGTGAAAAGATAAGGGCATAAAAGTCATGTAATAAGATTTTTAAGTTATCATTTAACACATAGGGGCATTGTGGGCACTATTTATTTAAGTTATCAGTTATAAGAAGTTTATCTGATATATAATGATCAAGATCTATGTATCTTTATTTGTCGTATACGAAAAATCATTACATAAACATCATGCATTAGTTAAAGATTCATATCTACATATAGGTTGAAGTTAAAAGTCTTATCTATAGGTTAAAGCGCACAGACTGAAAAGGTTCTGGCCAACTCGACTGTAGCTGAACATTGGAAAATTTGGACCCTGAATTTGGGTCTGATAACTGACTCTGAAAATGTGTGTTCACAAGTGAAGGCACTAAACAGATCAAGATCTTGTGAACTCGTTGTCTTTCTTGATTCAAACCAGAATGAACTTGTTTCGCTGTTGAAGCTATACCTGGGCTGTAAGCTTATGAGCATCCGCTTAGCCCTTTTCGGACATTTTTGTTGTTGTTGATTAACCTGGATATCCAACCCGCTATGCGAGCCGACTAATCCCACAAAAAGGGATGAGCGAGAAGAAAACCTATATATGTCATTTTTAAGATTAGCTTCATCCTCTCAGGTTCAAATCTAAGGAGGAATAAAAATCTCCTTGTGGCCACGAAGGTTCAAATGCGGTGACTCTGTGCTATCTGCAAAGCAGGTGGTCGCCCTGGAATTAGTTGGCTCGCATAACAGGTTGGATATCCAGGTTAATCAAAAAAAAATTAGCTTCATCCCCATCCAATCTGAAATGCACTGCATAAACAATTAGTCTTAAATGTGTGTTCTTAAATAAACCATCTTTAATGTTAAATCAATACATTAAAAATGTAAACATATAAGCTTTGATTTTAATACATACATATGTATAGAGAGAGGAAAGTTCAAATGAGAACGATAATTAAATAAGAGAATATGAAAACGGCTAAATGACGTGTAAAATCACATGTGATTATACATTACCGATCGACAAAAGGTGTGCAGGCAACGAGGTCGCGGTGAACGTTGCATGAATCATATGTGATTTTATACGTGTTTTTAGTGGAAAAATCACATGTAATTCGACCGTTTTCATATTTTCTTATTTAATTATTGTTCTGATATGAACTTAACTCTCTCTCTCTCTCTCTATGTATATATATATATATATATATAGGGGGGAGAGAGAGAGAGAAAATGGTTCAAACGAAAAGAATTTCATTTTATAAAAAGACAAGAACACCTTTTTATTATAGTTAATCACATGTGATACTAATTATATTAGAGAGACGGGCAACTTTTGGCGCAATCTAGATGGGAGGACAAGTCGCCCGCACACCATCAAGTTCTCTTACATGTATTATCAAATGGGATACGATATTTTTCGTAATATATATATGTTCTTGTTTAAACCTATATATATAGAGGAATGATTAGATGCAAACCACCCATATTTGTACAAACCGTGCAAACCACCATCTCCATCGATTTTATTGTTTCATCTTATGAAATTTTTTTCATGAATTTGTTTAATCCTATGAAATTGTTTCATATAATTTTTTTTAATTAAGTTGTTTCATATATGGTTATGAAGTTGTTTCATATAATAC